TCATGCTGGAGCATCTGGTCTCCTAGCTGGGGTCCTCATGATCTGGATATTGTTTAGGCTTTTTAGTTTTGTATGACAATATAATGGGATTGCCAGATAGCCTCTGAGAAATCAAGGTTGGGTTAGCATATAAGACAAAAACAATCCGTCAAGGAGTTAGCTCTCCTTGGAGTAGAGGAAAGCCCTACCAGTCCTGAATATGCAAAACTGGCAATCATGGTAGCTTAGCAGTTCCTAGAAGAAGGCCTTAGAGGAGAGCCACCAGCACCTACTTAGCTATTGACAAGTTGAGAGGTGCGTTGTTTGTCGTGAGTGCTTCATTGGTATCCTGGTTTAGCTCTGTGAATCCTGCCTGCTAGCCACTGCATGCCCTCTTGCCTGAGTTGACATGTGTGTGACCTAAATACCTGACAACTTAGATATTAGTTGTCAGGTATTATAAGGACAGATATTATAAGGACAACTTAGCAACTTAGGGAAGGAAAAGTTTATTTTGGCTCACAATGAGGTCTCAGTTCATCGTGGTCAGCTGACTTCATTCCTCTGGACCTGAAGTGAGGCAGAACATCATGGTAGAGGGCAGAGCAACACTCCCTGCTCATGGTGACCAGGGAGCAGAGAGAGAGAGAGAGGTCGGAAGGGACCACAGGGAAGATGCCGCTTCCAGGGCATGCCCCCAGTGACCCACCTCCTACAGCCCTGCCCCACCTGCCTACACTTACCACCCAGAGAGTCCATTCAAACTAGGATGGACTGATTAGGGTACAGTTAACAATCCAATCCAATCATCTCACCCCTGAACATTTCTTCTTTAACACAGGAGCTTTTGTGGGGGACACCTCATATCCAAACCATGACAATTTGTATATCCTTATACAAATTGGGACCCTGGTTGTTGGGCTAATTTTAAGATTTTAGGACATCTCCATCACCCCAAAGAGAAACCCAACGACCATCATTCCCCATTCTCTCCTCCCTTCATACGTGACAACCACTCATCTACTTTCTGCCTCTAGGGACTTGTCTATTCTAGATATTTAATATAAATAGGATCAAATGATATGTGGCCTTTTATGTCTGACTTCTTAACACAATGTTTTTGAGGTTCATCCATATTGTAATGCGTCAGTGTTTCATTCCTTTTCATGGCTTATAATATTTCATAATATGGATTTATCATATTTTATTTTTATCTATCAATTAATTGGCACTTCCACTTTTTGGCTGTCATGAACAATGATGCTGTATGGGTTCATGTGCAGAAATACATTTCAATTCTATAAGGGAAATGTTTATCCCTAAACAACTTTTTTTTACCCATGTCCTTAAGCTATCATTTCTCTCAAGGAAAATGTTTTATTCTTATTAATATTGCCAGTGTTTGGCATAGTGCTCTACACCCACAGATGCTCAAAAAGTGCTGATAGTGATCACTGAAGGAGATTAAGGAGTTCTCTGGCCTCCACCACCGTCATCACCCCACCCAGGCAGCTGAGCCCCAAATTCATGTCCCAGAAAGCCTGGATAAAAACTGATGTCCTTTCTCCTAAACCTCTTACACCCACACTCCTGGCTTACTGACTCTAAGTGTGCACATGGCTATAACAAGCCGCGGTATCTGCTTTCCCAGCCCATAGCATCAACAAAAGCAACCCAAGTTCATTGGGGAAAGGGGAAAATGTCCTCTAAATCTTTGTATCCGTGGGAAACACAGATTGAAAATCCTCCAAAATATGAAACAGTTTGTGTGTTGACATGATGTCACAAGTAGAAAATTCCTCACCTTGAAACTTTGTTCATGCACCAAATTATCAAAAATGTATAAAAGTTCAGGCAATATGTATAAGGTGCATATTGCAACATAATTGAACTCCTTGGTTAGAAATTGGATCCCATTTCCCAGATGTCTCATTCTGCATGTGCAAATATCCCGAAATCCAACGTCTGAAACACTTCTGGTCCCAAGCATTTTGCATGAGGGATACTCATTCTGTACTTAGAGTGATGTACATTTAGAGTGCCCATGAGTGTGCACTGAAGGATGCCGGAAAGGGTTACATTTTGGAGAGCCTATGACTCCAGAATATGCCTTTGTAAGTGACATCAAGGGAACAAGAGGTCATGATATGCTCATTTTCTCTTCCTCACTGTGTGGTCAGTAATTTGTTGGAGAGTGTTAGACCTTGCATTTCTCTTGTGTCCTCATAATAGTTCCCAGGTCTATTGGCTATAATACAAAAACTTGTTAACTGTTGAGAAAGCAGCTTGCATTAAAAAGGTCCATAGCTTGCTTTTCAAGTTAATTATATCTGATCCCAGGCCAAAAGAAAGAAAGAAAGAAAGATGAAAAAGAAATGTTACCAAAGTCATTAATATGAATATTCTATTTTAAAACACTATCAATATAGAATAATATTTATGAATTAGAATTTAACATAAAAATGCAGTAATTTCTTCTTTTAACATGTATTTATTGAGCATTTGCTATGAGTTGACCACTGTCCTTATTTGCTGGGAATAGACACATAAGTACACACATGTGTGCATAGACAGGGGTGAGTTTTTCCTCCTCTTGGTGCTTACTAAAACTTTTCATGATGACAGAAATAGTCTATATCTGTGCTACTCGATGCAGTAGTCAATTATCACACAAGGCTATTGAACACTTCAAATGTAGCCTGTGCCTCTGAGAAATGGAATTTAAAATTTTATTTAACTGGTTTCAAGTTAAATAGCTACATGTGGCTACCATACTGGGGCAGCTCAGCTCCAAGGTTCTCTGATGTGAGTGTGAAGTTTTCTTAAGCACCTAGTTTTCCAGCGCCACCTAGCCAGAGTTGATATGGACAATGGCCTCAAGATCTTACCACATTGTTGATCTATACACAAATATTTCTCTAACTCAGACATTTTGAAAGGCTTTCTCAATAAAACACATTCTCAATAAAACACAAGTCCAGTTTCACAAAAGAACCCTGATTTAATCCAGCTGAATCTGAAAAAAACCTCTTCCTTTGGGCCTGTTTATGATTCTTTAAATTCTTGTTATTGTCCCAAGGGAAAGTCACTTGGAACTAGCTGCGAGGGGAGGAGCCTTGGGGTGTGTCAGCTTCTCAGTTTATTAAAGAATTCCTATGACTCCCATCTGCCTCCTCGTGCCCCTCATTATATGCACACACACATTCACATCCATACACGTAACCACGCCCTCTGGTTGACGGCTTCACCTAAGGACAGCTGTCCCTGGCCCTGTACATTCAGTTCCTACCTTACCAGCTGTGTTCTGCGTTTCACTGTGGAGAGCTTGCATCCTCAGTAGAGAGAACAAAGCAGAAACACAGTCTCCCTCCAAGGCCTGTTCTAGAGGCATGAGGCACCCTTCAGGAACCAGGAGCAGGCTGGAGGAGCAACACCTCCAAATGCCTCACAGGAAAGTTGTGCAAAAGCAGAAAAGATATCAACCCAGGAGCCACAGGCCTAGGCATGGAGCTGGGGAAGCCTGGGGGGAGTCTCTTCACATTTCTGTGCTGGCTTTCCCCCAGCAAAACCGAGCCACACCAGATTCAAGCCAAAGATGCGATGGCCAAGAACGTAGTGGTCCATATGGAGTAGACTTGGAAGAGGGCCATCCCTCACAGGCACAGCTGAGCCAGTCTCCCATGCCCACCTGGATGGGGTTGCGATGAACGTCAAGGGCAGCTCTGGAAGGATAAAGGTCACCGATGGCATTTTCCCTGGGGCTGGCTGTGCTTGTGACTGTGGACAGGCAAAGTGTGAGGAAGGCCTCTTGGCACTGAAAAAAGTCTACACCAGAAGGAACAAGACTGTTTTCAGAGACCTCCCCATCTCTCAGCAGCTCATCTTGCAGAGCTCTTTGCCATGTCACAGAAAAGGACCTCAAAAGTCATGCTTAGGGACAAAGGCCTCGACGCCCAGATTTTTGGACCCGTTTTGTCAGGACCATTTTTGGGGCCCACTGGTATCGTTAGGAGAAAGAACCTGTATGTTGGGGATGTGTGGCTGCTCCAGCTCTGGGAAAGGGGAGGCACAGAGGACAACCAGGAATCGATGCTGAGGAATGGCAGGCAGAAGTGACAGAGCTTCTCCACCTCAACTGCCGAAAAGCACGTGGCGGCACCCAGACCAGAAGGCCTTATGCCACTCAGGAGGTGGCCGAGAGCAGGACTGAGAGCCAGGCTGCTGCCTCAGGATCCAGCTTCCTTTGGGGAGGTGGGATCATTTGCCTTTCAGAGCTGTTGACAGCCTGGCCTTCCCCCTGGAGAATGCCCCTGTTCACACTCCATGTTCTGCAGCTTCACTGGGGACTCCCAAGCCTCCCCTGGAAAGATTCTTTGCCAAAATGTGCATTTCTTGGTGGACCAGCAATCAACTCCCCTGGGAGTATGATAATGCAGATTCCAGGACCCCACAAAAGACCCACCATGTCAGAATCCTTGGGTTGGGGGATCTTGGAATCCACCCTGAGATTTCCTTTTGAGAACACGCCCCTTGTGTGGGAGAAGCCCCAGGAGCCTGTGCGCCTAACAAGTACCCAGCTGACCCTGCTGTGAGGGTGGGGGGAAGGAATTTGGGATCGGATGGGGGCAGGGGCAGGCTGGCTGTCTTCCCTGTGGCACACTGGGAAAGGCCAGGGGTTGTGGTGTGTTGTCCCAGCACATCTATGTGCCGGACAGATGATCAGCCCCCCAGTCCTCTACCTCCTCTTTGCCTCAGTAAGGAGGTGCAAGGACTTGGGCTAACATTTGTCCCTCTCCCTCACCGAGGCTTTTATAGGAATTGCAGGCTGGCCTTGTGCGCAAACCAGGGGGAGGAACTTTGGCTTCACATGGTTGGTTGCCAGGTGGTTTTATCTTGATGGTTTTTATTTCCTTTACTGAGGTGGCTTGGTTTCTCACTTAAGAAGGTTTAAGACATACACACACACACACACACAAGCGCGTGCATACGTGTGCACGCAAACACACACACGCACACACACGTTTATTTCTCATACTAATTTTTTTTTATTACAAAAGCAATATATGCTATGGAAAAGAGAAAACAAACAAATTCAAACATAGATACATCTCTTGCCCCAGGGTCTACCTGATCATGCTTCTCAGAAGTAATTCTTACTGACAATCTAACGGGCATTATACTGAATGTAAAAAACAAAAACAAAAAGCAGGGCTGAGAGACAGCAGCACAGCACCTGAGAGGGTGTTCACAAGGAGGCCACCTGCCTAATGTCAACCCCACAACCTCTCAAGGAGGGAGGGAGGTGGCCCTCTCCTAACGAGGGCTGGGGAGTTTTTAGATCCATAGCTATACAAACACAACATTACTACTAAATTGGGATGTTTTATCTATCAAACTGCAACTTGCCTTATCCCCCAACGCCACCCTCAGTTTGAGGATTGCACTTGGGGGCCTCACACATGCTAGGCAAGTGCTCTACCACTGAGCTACATCCCCAGCCTTTTTAATTTTTCATTTCGAGACAGGGCCTTGCTATGTTGCTTAGGGCCTCATTAAGTTGCTGAGGCTGGCCTTGAACTTGCCACCCTCCTTCCTCAGCCTCCTGAATCACTGTGATTACCAGTGTGCACCACCACACCTGGCTACAACTTGCTTCTTTGATTCTTAATAGTTTGTGCATATTTTTCATAATTGTCTATGCTGAGCTTTTAAACATCTTCTATGTTCGGTTATATGAAATCATAACTAAGCAATCTCCAAATGATTTTTTATTACCACAAGCAATATTACAATGTGACAATAAACTTTCTGGTTTTTACTGATATCTTTGTGTGTGCATTTCATAGGATACCTTTTTAGGAGTAGAAGCAGTTGTCAAATAGGCCATGTAAATGAGAACATTTTTACTTTCTGGACAAGCAGGACATCAGAAAGTGAAACATATTTGAATGTGTCTTCTAAGCCCTGAAGGTCTTTTCTAATCTTATCCAAATCAAAGGTTAAGTTAGGATATTTGTTTTCCAGAGCTGGCTGTAGATTGCTGGTTCTGCCACTAAGCAGCTGTGAGCCTCAGAACTGTGGAGAAGGCACACCACCCACGGAATGGGGCCTTCATTTCTTCCACGTGCAATGACAGCCTGGTAAGATTCACTTTCTGAAGCCCCTTTTGCTCTAATGTTCCCCGATTTGATTAGTGCTTCAGCGCTCTCCCTCGGCTTTTCTGTTTATGAAAAAGCATTTGATTCTTTTGGCCTCCCAGGATCAATTTGTTACTGCACCAATTAGCTAAGAGCTTTCAAATTAGAAGCGCTAAGTCGTTCTCCTTTTACTTGCATAGCAAGTAGGGCACTCTTGGACAGAACCTAAAACTGCTTTGACTTCTAAAATCGTGGCTGCGTCTTTAAGCAAACAAGAGATGCATTGAATCCAAGTGGCCACCCGGTCCACATTCTGGACTCTGGGGCTGATGAGTCACAGGAGGTGTTTGGGAAGGCTGCAAGGGTCTCGCATGTCTCCGGGGAATCTTGCCTTCCTGGAATGAGTAGTTCCAAATGGATGTTCCTGAACAAAGAGGCAATTGTGTGACAATGACCTCACAGAACACGGTGTGTACTAATAAGATGAGGGACTTACCCAGTCTGTGTTTGCAGTATTTGGGACAGAGTCTCAGATAACAAGGCCTTCCATTTTCACTGTGTTCCCTAGTCATTATCCCACTTGACCCTCTCAACACCCCTGATGCCATAGTCAGAGCAGGGACAGTTATCCCCCAGGTAAGGTGCAGGTGCAGCAGTTGAGAGAGGTGTGCTGGCGTGTCTCATATCACTGGCCTGAGTGGCCACGCCTGGCACAGTCCAGGGCTCTATCCTCTGCTGCAGTGAGGTGGTGGCCAGCTACTCCCCAGTCCCTTTCTGCTGGCCCTTTTTAATGGCTGGGCTCCTCTTTGGTGCCCTCTGCAGTCCAGACTTCTCCTGTTGGATCAGTGCCACTCGTTGGTGTTTTAAGAGGCATGTACAGGCCTCAGCATGGAATTTCTCTGAATTTGGGATCCGCCCGATGGACAGCTTTATTTTCTAAAATATGAGAAAGAAGAAAATTAAATGACTGAAGATCATCCTTAGGATTGTTGGTCCTCACTTGGTCCTCCTTCACACCCTTTGAAGCTCTTAGGAAGAAAATCCTGAGATGAACAAGATGGCCAGAAGAAGCCAGGGATGACGATGGTTTTCATTTTCTGGAAGTTACTGGCCTGAGTCTCTAGGGAAGATTCCAGAGAGCTTCAAGGATGCCCAGAGGGGTCCAGATGCACCAAGAATTAAAAGGACCTCTTGAAACCAGCAAATCAAAATAAGACCATCAGATAGGACCAGTCAGACAAAACTGGGAGGAAATTAAAGTGTCTCCTGCAATCCAGCAGGCCCTCCCCCTCAAAACTCACATTTCGCCACCTTTAAAAATCTTACATTCTCAGCTGGGCGTGGTGGCACCCGCTTGGAATCCCAGCAGCTTGGGAGGCCGAGGCAGGAGGACTGCAAGTTCAAAACCAGCTTTGGCAACTTACCAAGGCCCTAAGCAACTTAGTGAGACCCTGTCTCAAAAAATAAAAATAAAAATGAAAAGGGCCAGGAATATGGCTCAGAGGTTAAATGCCTCTGGGTTTAATCCCTGGCACCAATTAAAAAAAAAAAAGAAAGAAAGATCTTACATCCTCTCCCCTCACAGTCCCTACCACAACCAATCAACTGTAGCCTAACAAGAAAGGTAGATCTGATGGGCTCAGATGCTTTACAATATCAGGGGCCATTGTTCCTTGTCTGGCTCCACATCTTCCTTTCCAACATTCTGTTTCCTTCCAGGGACCAGGTATTTGAATTTTAAGAGAACTGTATACACATTTTTACATAAAAGAAAGAAGTCAGGAATAGTGGAGAAGGAGGGCAACTTCCTAATCTTTCAGATAATCATGTTGGTGGGGGCCCCGTAGTTCTCAATAGTACCTAGGAGTTGCAGACAGAAAGGGGAACATGGGGTGAGCCTAAGGGAAATGCAGGTGTTGTTCCTGCCCACGCAGGTGACTCTCCATTCCGGAAGGACATTCGTGATGAAAGCGAGGCAGAGACACCCAGGTGGAGTTCCTGGATCTGCTCCCAGTCAGAAACCCTTTTCTTGGCATCTGAGCCCATGTCTGGGTTGGAAACTTCCAGAACAGCACAGAAGGTTATCTTGGCTACTTGGCCCCAGTGTGGATCTTTGGCAGACTCAATGCATTAGTTACTAGTTCACACCCCATATGAACTTCAATACCTAAGCCAATCCTCACCTCCCCTGAGACACCCTCCTGGTCTTCCACAATAACTTACTCCATTCTTCCCCTGTCCTCCCTATTCCATGTCTCAGGGACATACGCTATGGCAAGTAGCCCATGATATGCTTTTTTCAATCCACTAATCTACGAGCTCCTTAAGCTCAAGGTAAGGCCATTTTTGCAGTCCTACAACATGACACAGTATCCAGCATAAAGCAGATGTTCAATAAATAAGGAATAAATGAATGAATGAACACATGTGTCCTTGCTCTGCCATTAACTAGTGAGGTGTCTTAGCCAACTTGCTCCTACTTACTGGGTTTACCCATTTAGATAGCCGGGATAGGACAATTTGTTTAACCAGCAGGGTTACTTTGTGTGATGCAGAAGAGAGAAGAAATATCCCTAATATACATATGATGCATAGTCATAAACCCTCAGAGTTTGAAGAAAGGTTATCTAGTAGCATGGTTTTTAGAAATTTCAAGTCATGAAACTGTTTTCAAGGGAAGCTAAGACAGGCCAATATTTTGGGGACTTGTCTGTTTAATAAAACATAAATGAAAACCATGGATTTCTCTAATTGAAGCCCCGGCACACTGTCCCCCTCCTCTTCTCTCTCCCAACTACCACCCTAGAAGTCCAAGAATCAGAATTTGAAAATGGACCCTCTCACTTTAGAGAAAGGAAACTAAAGCCCAGAGAAGGAAGTGACTTTCCCAAGGTCACAGGGCTAAAAATTAGAGACAAAGTTAAACCAGGATGGAATTAGCCATATGAAAACTACACTAATAGGAGAGACCATTTAAAAATAGGCTAGCCTTTTAAAACCACATATACTCTGCACACCTACATATTATGTCTAATTCTTATAATAACTATATGAGGACAGTATGATGATGTCAAGACTGAGCCTATCCATGGCCAAAAAAGAAGCAAAAAGAATAGTACTACACTGAACACCTAGTATGTGCCAGTCACTGTTTTAAGCACATGACCACATATTATCTCGTTTAATTCCCCCAACATCGGGTACTATCAGTATCCCTGATTTCACAGAAGAGAAAATGGAAGCACAGACTCCTTCAAGTAGCTGGTTTGCAATCCATGAGCCAGCCTGATTCTATGCAAACTCTTTTCCCTACCCTATGCTATGTCTGAGGTCACAAACCCAGGTACTCTGTCTCCTAGCCCAGTATCTTGCAAATACTACCTTATGTGAAAGGCAGAGTTTCATTTGTATCCCAAGTACTTTTCAGACTCCAGTGAAGACCTTGATCTTGTTCCTCTTGCCACTGACTTGTCCTGGCCAGGGTCAGTTACTAGGACTCACCTCTTTCTGTATGGATCGGGTAAGAAACAAGGAGACCTCCTCCAGGCTTTGGGGTTTCAGGTCATTCACGGCCAAGACATGATCTCCATGGCAAAATAAGCATCCCAAATGTGGGGGGCCTTCCCACCTGGCCACACTGCAGTAGAAATACAGGGCTCAATACCAGCACATGACATAGTTCTCAGGGAAGGGAGGGTGGGGCCAGGCCTGCAGGAACTCCTCACTCAAGCTGTGCTGGGCCTCATCTAAAGCTGACCATCTCCTTTTTCTGTCACTACTGTCGGAGTCTAACCCTTCCTCCAAAACCTGTGCAAATCATTTCACTCTTGCAAAGCCCTGTGGACTCTGACCTTCTGCTTCCTTTTCTATAGTTAATCTCCCTGCCCCTGGGCTTCTGCATTGTGAGAGCACCTTATTCATTACACTTTTAAATAAAATGCATTTTGTATTTGCTTGTCTGGGCAGCTGTCTTTTTCACCAGGCTATGGGGCCCTGTGGTGCCGCCTTTCTATTGTTTTGTTTTAAATTTTTATAACCCCACAGTTTCAAGAAAACAGAGGACGCTCAGTAAGTGTTGGTGGGCAGTGAGCCCACGAGGTTACACAACGCACATCTAAAGAACAAATCAGCAAATTCACGAATGAGCAAGCTCCGCCTCAAGAGAAGTCCACGACCTGGCCAAGGATTCCTTGAGTCTTCTTTGTGACAATATGACAGCCCAAGTCCCCAGTCAGTTTTGTCAAAATGACTGTTCTCTTCCTGTCTTGGAATCTCCTTTTTAGTCCACAACAGTCAATTCTCCCACCTACCATATCCGTCCGGCCGCTTCGACAAGAGCAAGATAGTTTATGACATCTGGCGGAGAAAGGAACATGTCGAGCGTCTCCAAGTGGCTCTCATCAGGGATGTTGCTGACAGAGAAAGCATTTGTAAAAGTCACTTCAGGCGACTGACCCTGGCTCTTGAACTGTCCTCTCTGAGCAGATTTTTGGCCTCCTATTTCTGAGATAGTTTCCAAATAATGGTTGTCAAAAACATTTGGAGAAAAATGTGAATTTAAGTTAGAAAATTACTCATAAGTATCCCTCCCCACCGTTCTTGGGATGTGGTTGTGGGTGGGAGACAATGGAGAAAGAGGAGAACACAGTAAATTGGTTGGATAAGCATCCTTAAGATGACAACCATCTTGTCAAATGCCTTTGGCATCACTTGAAATTGGAACATCCCCTTCCTTGTCTATAAACCAAGCCTCTCGTGACCTGCACGCCATGTTAGCAATGTTAATGGCAGAAGCCGGGTGATATACTACTCGGATCAGTGTGGATCCAAAGCCCCAGGACCTGAAAGACTAGCCAAGGAAGAATTTTTAAAAGTAGCTGAAAATGCCACCCCAAGCCCAGGGGACTGCTTTCTGTCCAGCTCTGTTTATTCACTGTCCTTGGCCACAGCATCAATGACAGGGAGAAGCTGGTCAGATTCTTGGCTGACTTGGAGATTTTTAGGAACTGCTTCAAAATTTGAATCCTAAATAAAAACAGAAGGCCTGCCTTGCCCTCAGAACCCATGAGTTTTTTAAAAATTAGAGCTTTACTTGAGTAATATAGACAATTTCACAACAGTCAGTGAGGCCGATCCCTTCTTATCATCCGTGGCCTGTGTTTCTGGATTGGCAGGTGAAAGACACAGATCACTTCCTGAATCTGGTTCCTGCAGTTGGGGGCCTCCATCCTGGGGCTCTGGAAAGGTCTGGGCCTCCTCTGGGCAGCCAGCAGATGCATTGAGTGTAGCCTTGAAAAAACTATAGAGTAGAAGACGTTAAAACAAACCCTTTTTTAGTATGTCTATTTACAATTTTCCACGGTGTGTGTCAGATTTAAGTAGCCAACAGCCACATGAAAACTAACAAGGTCTTGAAGCGTGTCCAACCCTCCGAATCACAGCCGCAGTTAGGATCAAATCCAATAAGCTTTCCTTCTAAAAATGGATATGGAACCAAAATAATCCTTTTCAGGGCTTGGAGGACAGAGTGCGAGTGTGAGAGACATAAATGCAAAATAGGAAACAACTTCCCCAAACAGAAAACGTCCTGAGGTTGTCACAAATGCTTTTCTGTGGGTGGAGAAATCATTGCCGTTTTTCTGGTTTTGAGATTACAGATTGAGCATCCCGCATCCAAGAACCTGAGATACGAAATGCTTCAAAATATGAAATGTTGAGTGCCAACCAGATGTTGTCAGTGGAAAACTCTGCACCATGAAACTTGGTTTCATGCACAAAATTAAAAATAGCTCATAAAGTTATCTTGAGGCTATGTGTATAAGATGTCCATAAAACATAAATGAATTCGCATTTAGATTTGAGTTATATCCTTAAGATATCTTATTATATATATGCAAATATTCCCAAATCTGAAATTTGGAATGCCTCTGGACCCAAGCATTTTGGATAATAAGATTCTACTTGGGTTGAATGGAGTCTGTGAAAACACTTCTCTCAATTTGTCAATTATTAAAAATGAATTTGGGGGCTGTAGTTGTGGCTCAGTGGTAGAGTGATTGCCTAGTACATATGAGGCACTGAGTTTGATCCTCAGCACCACATAAAAATAAATAAATAAAGGTATTGCGTTAAAAAAAAAGAATTTAGTTGTTTTAGGATAACTAGAATCAATTTTTAAAATGTCAGTTTTACTTACCAGGATTTCATTGACATGTAATGGCATTCAGTTGTCTTGGGGACCTGGTCTTCACTACCAGGTCCAATGGATTCACCAGAATCATTGGAATCAATAACATTATTCAACTAAAGACAAGAAGAATGAACGTAAAGATGCAAGTCTGCCAATCATACAGGAACCTTCTACTTCTAACCTGGACATTAACCTGGACCCTGAACTTGTAAGTATATCTGCCATTGGATGAATAATGGTTCTCATTTAGGGAATGTCAACCAACCTCACCTACGCAAGCTTGAGCCAGTGAAGTTCCTGGCAGACTCAAAGTCCATTCTGTCCTCCTGGGTGCCCTGTGCTTTCTGATACAAGTGTTCTATTGGACTAAATTGCTGTTTACCTTCATGTTTTACCACTGTGCACTTAATGGCATGAACCCTTGTCCCCAGACAATCCTACTGCAGAATCACAGAAGTGGGCAGGTGAAAGACCAGACACAATGTGGAGCTGGTCATAGGCTACAGTGCTCACAGGCAGCCCCAGTGCTTGAGGAGGCCCCAAGGGTCCTAGAAACTTCTGTCCCTGGGAGATGCTCAACCAGTCCCTTAGAACTAGGCATCATTGACAGCAATGGTTGCTCAAAACCCAAGACTTACCTGCCTAGGTCACCACTAATCTCACACTGGAACACTGCCGCCAATCAAGCTGGACTTCCCATAGCTGCCCCTTACCAGTGGTGCTCTCCTAGTCCCCAATGTTCATGCTGTTTGCTTCACCTGGGATGTCCCTTTTCTCTTCTGTCCATTGACACTATGTTCAGGCCTGGCTGAAGTCCCACAGCCTGCCCTGGTCACCCCACCTCTGTGGATGGCTCTCTGAATTTCTATTGCACAGATTAATCTGCTTTGTGGACTCTGCATCCCTTACAGTATTTAGCAAAAGACAAGCGTAAATTACAACTGATGCTCAAAAAACACCTGGTTGGTTGGTTGAACTATCATGAAAGACTGTCCCCTAGCATAAAAATATTCCTGGTGAAGAAGGCTTCTGGGCTCAGATAAGCCTGGGAAATGCTGTGCGTTGTGTGCCACTCACCTATTTATAATGCACCACTGCCTCTTAGAGGCTCTGAGGACCCTGCTGTTAAAAAGCTGTATAACTTGGCACTTCCATCACCATACTCTAGTAGAAAACCCCAGTCTGGGAAACGATGCCGCCCATGCCCCCAGTCACGTGGCCTTCCTGTCTCCCGTTCTGTTCTCTCTGCACCCACCGCAGATGGAGTGGCTGGGTTCCTGTGACTGGAAGGCAATTCAGGTTCTGCTACTTCCCAACCTAGAAGCCAGCTCTGCCCTGATGCTGCTTACAGAATGAAGTCAACTCGGTGTTTGAGACCATCATGAACTGGCTCTTTTTTCTGTTTTGTCCCTACACACTCTGAATGGCCACCTAACTGAACAATTCATCATACACATATCAAATACCGTTCCATCCCCCAAATCTTTCTTCCCTGACTCCAATGGAGAGAAAAATCTGTCCCATTTCTGATGTTCCCTGCTACTTTGTGCCTCTTTGTGTGTGACATTATCATGTGGTAACGATTAGACTGTGAGCTCGGAAGGAAGGGGCAATCTCAAGTCCATTACTGAGGCCACCATGCCTGGGACAGGTCAGCGCCTAGCACTCAGAAGGGCACCAATGTACCAACAGGCTGACTGATACACACCACACAACTTACCACCCGAGGACCTACCTCTTGTTCTTATTTTTCTTTCAGTCCAGAATACTGACGAGCTCCTCAAGTCAACTCCCCAAGTCCAAATTTTAGCCATCAAGTAAGGTCAAATGTCACCTCCTCTATAGATCCTTCTCTGGTTTCCGTTTGGAAATCAGGCCCCGCTCTTCCTATGACTGGTACACCCTGGGACTCTGTATAAGCATCTCTCTACAGCATGGGGCCCTTTCTGTCTTATACTGTGGCAACTCCTCCACCAGGGTCAGAGCCATGAGCTCATCATCTATCCTGATTCTCCACAAACAGTGCAGGACAGGGGCTCAGGAATCACTTCTCTAAGAAATGAGCCATTAGCAGATGGGAAGGGTTACCTCTAAAAGAACACTTCGAGGACTAAGATAATAACTTTCTTCTTGTGTGTCTTGAGTGGTCTTTGACAAGAAATCACGCGGAAGATGAGCCTGCTTGAATCCTGGAGAACTTTTTTCCATTAAATACTGCATAAAAGAGATGCAGAAGGAATGAATGATTTTATTTTCCAGAGACAGAGCTAAACCACATGCTTTCTGGAAAAGCCACAGTAGAGTAGTTGGATTTCAAGATCAAAGAACCTTCCAAGCTCCCACCCACACAAGTCCACACACCTTGACCTGGTCTCTGGAGTCTGCATCGCCTTCGCTGTTGTAAATACATAAGCACATGATTCAGACTGCTTTCTCGACTACTTGAAGCATAAATCAGAATAAGTGGTTTTGTCCTGGGAGTGGCGTTCTTAGTTACTAAGCTCTGCCATGGTGTCCCCACTCCCACCTTGTTCATTATCAGCTGGTGCCATCTGAGCAGGTAATTAACCGGAGGCAGGGCATGCCACCCTTCCTCTTCTTGTTCCTAGTCCTCTTTTGTGTTTTGCTCACCTCTTTCTGTTTCCATAGCAATGCTCTTAGGCAGCATCGATCACGTGATGGTATGGATTATAGGAGTCAGGGTGATAGACATTCAACCAATTAATTATTGCCTTCTCTTCCCCCTAGATACCACTTACTCCACTAAAATGACTGCTTTGTATGGCAGGAGAATTGTTATGAATTCAATTTAATTCTTGCAAGAACAAAGTCTTAAGGCCGGGGCTTTCAAAAAGACCCTCAATATTCTATGAGAAGTCCTTGAAAGGTGATTTAAAAAAACATGTGTACAGATGATCCAACTTATGATGAGTCCACTTATGATTTTTTGACTCTCTGATGATGAGAAAATGATGCACATTCTGCAGAAAGCATACCTCAAATTTTAAATTTTGATCTTTCCCCTGGGGGTGAAAAAGGGTCCCCCTTAATCTGTTAAGTCCCAAGTTTTCAATGCTGTGAATATTACAGCCAAACTGACAAAGAAATCATAATCTAGAGCTTATATATTATTATATTAGTTAATATTAATTAACAAGATTATATCATAATTATTATAATATAATTATATGATTATATTATATAATTCTATATTATAGAATGTATTTTTAATATCTGGGATAATGGGAAAGTAGGTTAAATAACAATGACAGAAACCAACAAACTATGGTATCCTTAACTCGAGCTGGTTAGAAAATCACTGGATCTAAACAGCATAAAAAGGCAAAGTGATCAATAATGTTTTCCCTGGGGAAAAGGAGACCTCATGAGTGAAAAGCAAGAGGTCTTTGCTCAAAAGGTTCACAGGACCGTATCCACTCACTGAATGGATAAATGAGATGAGGTGTTTGGCCTGGTGAGTGTGACACGCTATGAAAAGCTTATAAATAGTTGAAGAGCTACCAACTCCATACACTGGGAGGCTGTGCATCTTTAGAGATGGTTGGGACCCACAGAGAGGGAAAGTCTCTAGGGGAGGAAACAGTACCCTGCAAACCTGGGCAGCCTGTTTAGGACCGAGATCCAGAGCTGTAGAGACAGAAAGGCAAGGCAGCAGAGGGCAGATCGAGAGTGGCTTTCAAGAGGCAGTGCGTTTACCTCACTCCCTGAAATTCATGAGCATTTGAATGGATTTCATCAGAAACGAAGACGAGGTGACAGCAGTTATAGTGAGAAGCAAGACCCATGAAGGTGAATGAAGGAAATCAGTAAGAAAAGAGAAGCCCAGGTTGGACGGTCAGAAATCACAGGGAGACTTTCCCCAGAGGCATTTGTGCCTGTGCGTGGCAAGGTGCCAGGCCAGCAGGCTTTGGCTTTAGCAGAGGGACCGCAGGCCAGCATACCAGATGTGTGTCCAGGACATGTAAATGGAACGCAGACAGAGGGAGCAGGGGAAGGGTCCCAAGAGAGAAGGTGATTCTTTTACCATGTCTGGAAGGCTGTTTCGTGGCGAGGTGGGGCTCACAGCCTCCATCACACTGGAAGGACCAAAGACAGGGCTGGGGTAGGAAGCCGGCCTTGTATCACCCAGTGAGGGTCCCTCCTGCTTAGGAGAAAGGAATAATATCATCAGGACACAGCTGGTCTCTGTCTGGAATGAAAGAAGAGCCTCCCGTGGGCTCTTCCCTCAGCACCTCCTCAACTATCTGGGCGCTGGGCTGCCACGGGCCAGTGCTATCTCACTAAGACAAGGCTGATCCTGCCAGCTGGCTCCTAGTCTGTTCCCAAACCCGAGGACACTCTGCCTGGCCTTGAGGGAGGCCCTGAGCTTCCTCAACTTATCAGCCATATCTCCCTCTGAATCCTGCCCGTTCTGCTCTATCATTCAAGTTTACTTATAGACAGACTTTGCTTTCTCCTGCATCTTGGCTTTTGCTGTAAGCATAGAACAATCTAGAAAATATGTGAATAAAGACACCTAGAGAGCAAAGTTCCATTTGTCAAGGCCTGCACCAACACAAGACTTGGCAGATTGACGAAGACCCTTATGAAGCAAACTAAAAACTTTAAACTACCAGCCCTTATACAACTGGCATTATATTAAAATGCAAGATAGATGAAAAAACATTTTTATAGAAACCGCCCTAGATGTAGTCATTCAAAAGAGAATGTCTTGCGTAGCTTGAATAACAATGATGGAAAATAGTATAGTTCTAGCTACTATTAAAAATCTCTTCCTTTCCTTTCACTGTCCCCCCCAGAACAAACATTTGAAATGTCCGTATTTTAGCTCTCTTGCAAAACATGAAAGTATTTTTTTCCTTTTGTTCATCATAAAACATAACATTTCCTCACTTATTTATTTCTAGAATTAATGCCAGTTGCCAAGGAGAAAGAAAAAGCTACCATTATTTCTGTTAAAAGAGGGTCGTATTTAGATGTCTGTTATTTTATTAACGATAGTCACCTGGGTGTTCTGGTGAGCTGCTTGTACACCATGGCAAAACGATGATATGAAAGAGACCCAGTCTCTAATCTTCTCCCTGTTGATGGGAACAAACTTTGAGCTGACATGTGGCAAAGCAGCACCTGAAGTCACTCATTTTGAACCAGAGGATCATTTTATTTATTCCAATTCATTATATATGACAGCAGAATGCAATTCAATTCATATTATAGAGCACAATTTTTCATGTCTCTGATTGAACACAAAGTACAGCCACACCATTCGTGTTTTCATCCGTGTACTTAGGGTAATGGTATCAGTCTCATTCCACTGTCTTTCCTACTCCCATACCCACCTTCCCTCCCCTTTGCCCAATCTAAAGTTCATCTATTCCTCCCATGCTCCTCCACTCCATCCCCATTAAGAATCAGCATCTTTATATCAGAGAAAACACTCAGCATTTGGTTTTTTTGGGATTGGCTTACTTCACTTAGCATAGTATTTTCCAATTCCATTCACTTACCTGCAAATGCCATGATTTTATTTTCTTTTAATGCTGAATAATATTCCATTGTATATATATACCACATTTTATTTATCCATTCATCTACTGAAGGGTATCTAGGTTGGATCCACAATTTAGCTATAGTAAATTGTGCTTCTACAAACATTGATGTGGCTATGTTCCTGCAGTAGACTGTTTTTAAGTCTTTTGGGTATAAATCAAGGAGTGGGATAGCTGGGTCAAATGGTGGTTCCCATTCCCAGTTTTCCAAGGAATCTCCATACTGCTTTCCTTATTGGTTGCACCAATTTGCAGTCCTACCAGCAGTGTAAGAGTGTAGCCTTATCCCCCACATCCCCACCAATACTTATTGTTGTTTGCATTCTTAATAGCTGTCATTCTGACTGCAGTGAGATGAAATCTTAGAGTGGTTTTGATTTGCATTTCTCTAGTTGCTAGAGATGTTGAACATGGTTTCATATATTTGTTGATTGATCGTATATCATCTTCTGAGAAGTGTCAGTTCAGTTCCTTGGCCCATTTGTTGATTGGATTATTTGTTTTTTTGGAGTTAAGATTTTTGAGTTCTTTATACATCCTATGGATTATTGCTCTGTCTGATGTGCTGCTGGTAAAAACTTGCTCCCATTCTGTAGGCTCTCTATTCACTTCACCAGAGGATTCTTTTACTGTGGCTAGAATAGGCCATGGGAGCAGCTATCTGGTAAATATGGATGTTTTTGCCAGTAGCTTCAGAGGCCCACTTCCTCCCCATTTGCACTCTGGAAGGACTTCTCATGCCACCCCAGTGAGGAAAGCTCAGAGTAACAAAATGGGAAATAGAAAATAAGAGGAGTAATCCCAGGGCTTGGGGCTTTCAGCTCTATGGTGTTCTGGAGCAAGTGCCCTCCTAGCCTGTCAGCGCCATTTTGGCACAACTATCCAAGTGAGCTTCCCCTTAGGGAATGCAGGTCTTCATGAAGAGTCGTGTTTGAAAGAATGTATATAAATCCCATCTTCTTTGCTGCTGACTTGCACAACAGTTTAAAAGAAAGCTCTGGATCTTTAGGTCAACCTAAAAGAGATCAAGGTCCCACATGCTTCGATATTCCCGGCCTTCTCGGCATAGCCTCTTCCCTTCACCATGGCCTCACCCCCTAGCATTTAAAAGTGTGCAAAACTTCAGTGGGCACCTTCACTAGCTACAGGAGCTGCTCCTCAAAGAGAAGACTCCTTGGGGGTGAGCACGGTCCCTCCCTTATACAGGTAGCGTATACAGGTATTCTTGTACTAGGTCCTTTTACTTGGGATGCATCTGTGGTAATAGTGACTATTATGGGTTGGATCATATCCCCCAACCCCGCCCAGGATACAGACATTCCAGTTCTAACTCCCAGTCCTCAGATCGTGACCCTATTTGGAAATAGGCTTGTTTCGGATATATTTAGTTTAGATGAGGTTATACCGGAGTAAAGGTGGCTCCTAACCCAATGTGACTGGTGTCCTTACAAACAGGGGACCTTTAGACACAGAGAGACGCACACCGGGAGAATACCATGTGAAGACTGGAGTCACACTGCTACAAGCCAAAGGAAGTTAGGAGAGAGTCCTGGGACAGAGCCTTCTCTGGAGCCTTCAGAGGGACTACGGCCCTGCCCACACTCTGATCTCCATCACTTAGCCCCCTGAACAGTGAGACGATACATTTCTGTTCTTCTAAGCCACTTAGTTTGTGACACCTTGTTACAGAGCCTTTGGAAATTAGTATAGCGAGGGCTGCCAGAATGGCTTTGGAGATTTAAACATCGTTTAAAATGTTCTGGATTTCGGTTTGCTTTTGCTTAACACCCAGGAGACGACTCTAGCTCCTTACAGCCTACCTGTCGTGGCTGATGAGGAAGTAATCTCTGTTAGTGGTTCTGATGGACATCACCTCATCCGGGTGGCATTTAAACATCTTCTGCACAGATTGAAGCTTTTCCTGGCTATTTATACCCACGTTGACGCTGGCATTTCTGTTAGATATAGACACAAAGTACTAAACCAATGTACTTACCAAATGAGGAAGAAAACTGACTAATGTTTTACATTAGGATGCATATTTGAATAAAACTTAAAATCTGCTTGATCCATGTTTTAAAGATCGTCCAGTAATTTGAATTATTATTGCTATTATTTGAATTATTATTTTATTTTATTTTTTTAGAAAATAAATGTGCACTTTGAATCTGGTTCATCATTAATTGAAACACTGTGTTTGGCCTGAAATTTAATTCAAAAGATGATGTTTCCTTTTTTTTTTTTGTATTAGGGATCGAACCCTAGGGTGCTTAACCACTGAGCCAGATCCCTCTCTCCTTTTTTAAAATGTTTTATTTTGAGACAGGGTCTCACTAAGTTGCTTAGGGCCTCGCTAAGTTGCTGAGGCTGGCTTTGAACTTGTGATCCTCCTGCCTCTGCCTCCAGAGTCACTGGGATTACAGGCATATGCCACTGTACCTAGCTCAGTTGGATTCTTGAGTTCACGAATCATCTTTTTTGTTTGTTTTGTTTTGTTGTTTTTTGGTATCAAGAATTGAACTCAGGGGCACTTGGTCACAGAGTCACATCCCCAGCCCTATTTTGTATTTTATTTACAGACAGGGTACTGAGTTGCTTAGAGCCTCTCCTTTGCTGAGGCTGGCTTTGAACTCTCAGTACTCCTGTTTCAGCCTCCTGAGCCACTGGGATTACAGGTGTGCGCCACTGAGAAGGGGAACAAATCATCTTTTCAAGTTGTTTTCTTGTACATACTTTTTTGAAAATAGAAGACCAAAAAAGTTAACCTAAATTTTTTTTAAAACCCATCTTGGCTTTATAAAATGGCAAATTTCATCTTCTCCCTCCCATCCACAAATTAAGTGAAAATCCTTTCCAAATGAATGCTTATTAATTAAAGACTTATCATCTGTAACATAATATGAATGAACATTTAACTATCTTTTACTCTTAAGTGTTCATAATTTTAGTTCCCTTTCAAATATCATAATAGGATTAAAGTCCATAGTTCCTCTGTCAATGATTTAAGTTTAAATTTACATGCAACTTGTTAGTATCTGACTTGATAAGATGTGTTATAAATTTCCTTGCTCTGGATACACACCGATCAATTTCGAGGGAACCTCGTTGGTGATGGTCTTTGTAATAGGAAAGAGTAAGACCCTTTTCCCCATTCTTTGACAGGACACAAAAACGCTTTTTCCAAGAGGTCTGAAAGGTGAAGAAAAAAAAAGAAGAAGAAGAAGTTTTGCATCTCAGTTAAATCTCAGAGAAAGAGAGAGCATTTAAAAAATGCTCATGGTGCTGGTGGGAGGCTTGTTAATCTGTAGGGAATACTTACTGCGGAGGAGAAAAGCTGAGGAGGTGGTGACTTAATAAAGTAATCTTGTTTATAGACTTCATTTTCATAATAAAATGTAAGTTGCTTGCCTAATAAAAGAAAGTGAACAAGACTCAGTTTGTTCTCTCATAAATTTCAGAAGAGAACTGCTTCAATCAGATAACACTGTTTATTTCTGGAAAGGTCTTCAAATCATTCAGTTACTCAAAAGATTCTCCTATGTCAGCCCAAGAAAAAAAAGGAGCAAGTGTGTGACTCTTCCTCATCCACGGCTGGGGCTGTCATTCAAAGGATGCTTCGAGGTACCTTTGTCCTGCTCACCCCCATCTGGTTCTGTTTCTGGAATATGTCACTGACTCTCTAGGTGTGAGCACAGGTTTGTCACCATTCCCATTGCAGGAGCAAGATAATTCTGTACCTCCCTTTTGTTTGCAAATAAAAGTTAACCACCTGCTATTAAAAATGAGGTGGCAAAAGTGCTTTTTTTTGGGGGGGTGGGGGAGAGGGGCAGGTGGAGTGTCTGCAGAACTTGGGGAGAGAGGAAAATTCAGGACAGCTGCTCACCAGAATAACTGGACACTAGGATGCTGATCCCAACATATGTACTACAGAATCTTGATTCTGTTTTCACTTAATAAAGACGCTCTCAAATTTCCAAAGCCAGGTACAAACTAGACTTATATCTTGAATGTGAAAGTAAAACCAATCACTTAAAAAACTATTTAAACAATACTTTGGTTTTCTAAATAATGAAAGTAGTACATATTTCTTGTAAACATCTTAGAACACAGAAAAAACTAAAAATGCTTATAATTCCAATACTTACAGAGAACAGTTAATGTATGAGTAGCTTCTTGATTTAATCATATTCACCACCTGCTTTTAATAGCAAGTGGCTTTTCTTTGGTTTGCTAGACCAAAGGGCAACACAGAGTCCTCAAATATTCAAGAATAGTAATTAGCACAAGGGTGTGCCGAATCTACCTGAGGCCAGGGAAAGAACCATTAGAAAAGATCAGAAGGAACAGTGTTCAATGTTCACACAGGGTCAGCAAAAGCGCCCATTCCTTTCAGCCATACTGGAAAGACTTACAATTTACTTATAATTTACAGGACATTAGGTAAAGTCCTGAGGAATAATTATCCCTAGACTGAGGACTGTGCCAAACTCACCTAACAAATCATAAAAACAAGTCTTAAAAGGACCAAGTTGTTTCCAAGAAACTTAACTGCATCCCAGAACAAAGATCAAGATTTATAGGATATATATATATATATATATATATATATATATATATATATATATATATTTATATATTACCCAATAAGGTACAATTTGCAAAGTCTGGCAATCAGTCCAGATTACCAGGCATGCAAAAATGGCAGGAAAAAAATGACTGTGATGAAGAGCATAACCAAACAATCAAAACAGACTGAGAGCTGACACAGATGTTAGAATTGGCAGAGAAGATCGCTGAAACAGTTATTATCACTGCATTTTTAAGAAATTGGGTAGAGATAGAAAATTTAAAAATACCCAAAATGAACTTTTTGACATGAAAATGACAATGTCTTTAGGGGAAAAAGAAATACACTGGGTAGGAGAAACAGAGAGTGAACATTGTAGAAGAAAAAAATAAATGAGTTTAAGGCAAAGCATAGGGACTATCAAAATAAACAGAAAGTAAAAAAAAAAAAAAAAGAATTTAAAAACATAAAAAGAACCCCAGAATGTTGGGAAAAATTTCAAGTGAACTAATATACAAGTAATTGGAGTTTCTTAAAGTGGGGGAGGAAGACAGAAAAAATATTCAAAGAAATAATGCTATAAATTCTACAAACTTAAAACTATAAATCCCAAGATCCAAGCAAGTCAATGAGCCCCAACCATATGAAACACAAGATACAAGGAAATACACTAAGGCAGATCAAAATCAAGTTACTCAAAACCAGTGATAAAGGAAAAAAATCTTAAAAGCAACTAGTGGAAAAAAAGACATGATGTATACAGAACAAGGATCAGGAACAATGATACTGATTTCTAGTCAGAAACAATGCAAACAAGAAAAATAGAACAATGTACTTATAGTAATGAAAGAAACACTGTCATCCAGAATTCTCTATGCAGCAAAAATATCTTTTAAAAAATGTCTTAAAATTTTTTAAAAATATCTTTTAAAAAATTTTAAGACATTTTCATATATGCAGTGCTGAAAGAATTCATCACCAGGAGGGTTGCACTATAAAAATGTAAAAGGAAGTCATTCAGGCAGAAGGAAATCTTCCAGATGGAAATCTGAATTTATAAAAGGAATGAAGAATACTGAAATGGTAACTACAAAGGTAAATATGTGAGCTTTGGTCTTATTCTTTAACACATTAAAAAACCCATTGAGGGGCTGGGGATATAGCTCAGTTGGTAGAGTGCTTGCCTCATATGCACAAGGTCCTGGGTTCAATCCCTAGCACTACAAAAAAAAAAAAAGATTGATTATTAAACAAAACTAACAATGATTGTGCACATTATAATAGATATAAATAAAATGCATTCCAATAGCAGCATAAAGTCCAGGAGGGAAAAATGGAAATGCACTTTTGTAAAGTTCTTGTATTATTTTTGAATTGGTATAAAATCACTTAAAGTTAGATTATAATATGTTAAAAATGTACATAAGCCCTAAAGTAATCACTAAAATAATAAATCACATAATGATAACTAATAAGCCAATAAGGAAGATAAAAGAGAATTATTGAAATTCTCAGCTAATCCAAAAGAAGGCAGAAAGGACAAGAGGAGAAAACAAAGGGAAAAAAAAGACAAATAGAAAACAAATATCAATACAAAGATGAGTGGGCAGTGCACACTTGTAATCCCAAATACTTGGGAGGCTGATGCAGGAGCATCATAGAAAAAAGATACACTATGCTAACACAGCCAAAAGTTGCAATGGTTGTATTAATATCAGTGGAGATTTCAAAACAAAGAATACTACCAGGGATAAAGAAGGTAATTTCATAATAATAATGGGTTCAATTAATCATAATAGAACATAACAATCCTAAACATATATGCAACTAATAACAGAGCTTCAAAATACCTGAAGCAAAACCTAATAAAACTTAAGGAAAAATAGACATATTTACAATATACTGAGAGACTTAAATACTCCTCTCGTTATAACTGAGAAGACAAATAAATAAAAACTGAGCAAGGATATAGTAGACTTGAACAACATTATCAGCCAACTTATCCTGAGTGATATTATACAATACAGAACACTTCACTCAACAACAACAGAATACACATTCTTTTCAGGGGTACTGGCAATATTTACCAAGATAGACTCAATCTGAGTTGTAAATTTAAGTCTCAGTAAATTTAAAAACATTCGAGTTATGAAATTGTGTTCCCAGAGTATAATTTCCAATCAAATTATAAATCAATAAAAAATTTTATTTATTTAATTTATTTTTTATTCTAATTTGTTTTATGTGCCAGCAGAATGCATTATAATTCATATACACATATAGAGTACAATTTTTCATATCTATGGCTGTATACAAAGTATATTCACACCATTCCTCTCTTTATACATGTACTTAGGGTAATGATGTCCATCTCATTCCACCATAGAAGAAAATTTCCACCATAAAATTTCCTGAAATAAATAACTCCTGGATCAAAGAAGACACTTTTTGTATTGGATGAAAATTAAAGCACAATAAATCAGATTTTTTTTGGATGCCACTAAAAAGTATTTAGGAGACATTTTATTGCACTAAATGCCTACAGTAGAAAAGATCAAGATCTCAAGTCAGTTAGCTCAGCTTCCACACTAAGACTCTTGAAAACACTGAATTAATTAAATATAAGTTAAAGAAAGGAAAGGAAATAAATATCAAACTGAAATTCAATGACAGAAAACTGAAAGACAGTGGAGAAAGTCAAAGAAACCAGAAGTTGATCTTTTTGAAAATATCAACATTAGCCAACTCCTATCTAGCAAGATACATCTGGAAAAACAGAGAGAAGACACAGATGATCAATATTAGGAGAAAAGAAGGAACCTAACTACAGATTCTACTGAGAGGAAGAAGATAATAAAGAAATATTATGATCAACTTTATTTCAGTAAATTTGAAAACTTAGGTGAATTGAAAAATTTCTCAAAATACATCTACTAATAAAGATCACTGAAGAAGAAATAGATAATCTAAATAGCCCCTATATCTATTTGAGAACTTGGAATTGTAGTTAAATACCTTCACATAAGGAAAATTTGAGGTCTAAGTGGTTGTAATTGTAACTTCCTCCAAACAGTTAAGGAATAAATAAGACCAATTATACACAAAATCTTCTAAATATTGACGAGGAGGGAATATTCCCAACTCTTTTTATGAGATTAGCATCCTTTTTCCTGACAGAAACTCGTGGCAAACTAGGACAAGGAGAAAATTTCCTCAACCTAATGCAAGACATCTATTAAAAAAACAAAACAAATAAACAAAAAACCCCCAAACTATAAACAGCATCAGAGATTGACAGCTTTTCCTCTAAAGTCAGAAGCAACAACAACCCCAAATCCCCATTTTCAGCTTTGCTCTTGAACATTGTATAAGAAGGTCTATCCTGAGCAATTAGGCAAGAAACATAAATTAAATGCATCCAAATTGGAAGAGGTAAAACTATCTCTATTATGAGATTACATGAATCTATATAGAAACCCTCATATAGTAAATTTGAAAAAAAAAAAAAAAGCTTCAGGAGAAAATTCAGTAGCTTACTTGATCAGCACAAAAATTAGTCTTATTTCTATAAGCCAGCAATAAATAATCTGAAAATAAAATTAAGAAAGTAATCCCATTTACAGTAGAATCCAAAATAAATAAATAAAATATCTAGGGGTAAATTTAATTAAGAAGGTAAAGTATTTGTACATTGGAAACTACGACACATTGCTGAAAGAAATTAAAGAAAACAACAACAAAAAAAAAAAAAAAAGAAAAAATCCCACATTCATGAATTGGAAGACTTATCATTTTTAACATGTTAATACTATCCCAAGCAATCTAAAATTTCAACACATTCCTTATCAAAATTTTAGTGACTTCTTTGCAGAAATGGAAAAGGCAATCCTCAATTGGAATTCCAATTGAATTGCCAAAACAATCTTGATGAAGAATAGACAGAACTCAGACTTCCCAATTTCAAAACTTAATACAACACTACAGAAATCAAAATCATGGTTCTGGTGCAAAGATAAATATACAGACCAGTATAATAGAGTTGAGAGTCCAGGAAAAAAAAAAAAAACAACAACCCACACATCAATGACCAAGGCCATTTGATGAGGAGATGATGATCTCTTTAACAAATTGTGCTAGGACAACTGGAAATCCACACATGAAAAAATATATAGTTAGACTTATACATCTTATCAAACAAAAAAGTTAACTCAAAAACCAATGACCTTAATTTGAGAGCTAAAACCATACCATTCCTAGGAGAATACATAAATTTTCATGGTGCTGGATTTAACAGCAGATTCTTAGAAATGACACCAAAAGTAAAAGCAACAAAAAATAGGTATATTGGATCTCGTCAAAATTAAACACTTATTCATATCAAAAGACATTATCAAAAAAGTGAACAAAGAACCTACAGAATAATGGGTAAATATTTGCAAAGCAGATATCTGATAGGGGCTTAATATAGTACTCTTAAATGCAATAACTAAAACAACAACCCTATTTAAAAAAAATGGACAAAGGACTTGAATAGACGTTTCTCTGAAGAAGATATACAAATGCTAATAAACACACAAAAATTTGTCCGACACGAAGTGGGAACAATGAGAAACCATTTTGTGCTTGCCGAGATGGCTACATTAGTAATGATTATGGTGGAAAGTAAGTGTCCGGTGAAGATATGGAGAAATTTGACCCCTCCGATGCCACTGGTGAAATGCAAAATGGTTCAGGCATCGTGGGAAACAATTTGGTAGTTCCTTAAAAAGTTAAGCACATCATTATTATATGACCCCCTCAATTCCAATCTTAAGCATAAAGTCAAAAGAATTAAAACGGCACTCAAACAAGGACACCTACACATATGCTATATCCAGTGCTGTTCACAAGAGCTAACCATGGAAACAGTTCAAATGTCCATCATGGAGTGCCTGGATAAACAATTTGTGGAATATATATATGATGGAAAATTACCAAGTCATAAAAGGAATGAAGTAGTGATAAATGCTTTAACATGGATGAACATTAAAAACATTTTACAGAAACAAAGCAGCCAGAAACAAAAAGTCACATACTGTATAACTGTATTTCTTTGACGTGTCCTGAATACATAAATCCCTAGAGCTAGAATGCAGATTGGTGCTCGACAGGGACTAAGGAGAAGGCAGAACAGAGAGAGACACTGCTCAGTTGGGTGAAGGCTTTAATCCAGGAGTGAGGTCATGTTTTAGAATTGTATAGAAGGGGTGGCTGCACAACATTGTGAATATGCTAACTGCCATCAAATTATTTCCTTTAAAATGGTTAATTTAGGGCTCAGGATGTGGGGCTTAGTGGTAGAGCACTTGCTTAGCATGCACAAGGCCCTGGGTTCGGTCCCCAGTGTTACAAAAAATAGAAGAAAATAGTTCATTTAATTTTTCTTTTTTTTAAAAAAAATATTTATTTATTTATTTTTCGGTGGACACAACATCTTTGTTTGTATGTGGTGCTGAGGATCGAACCCGGGCCGCACGCATGCCAGGCGAGCGCGCTACCACTTGAGCCACATCCCTAGCCCTCATTTAATTTTTCTTTAAAATCTGTTTTAAAAAGTTAAAAGGCTATTCCACTCCAAAGGAAATGCAACCATGCAAAGATTTATCATGGATGTTCATAGAGTTTTACTTGTAATACCTATAGACTGGAAGCAATCTATATGTCCACCTACAGGTGACTGGATTAACAAATTGTACTGTGCCCATACAACTGAATACTATTGGGGAATTAAAGGGAACAAACTATTGATATATGCCACAGCAGAGATGAATCTCAAAAGAATCATGCTGAGTGAAAGAATCCAGATGACTTGTTGATACTGCATGTTGATATTTATGTAAAATTTATATGGGGCTGGGGTTGTGGCTCAGCAGTAGAGCGCTCACCTAGCACATTTGAGGCCCTAGGTTCGATCCTCAGGATCACATAAAAATAAATAAAATAAAGGCATTCTTTTCCAACTACAACTAAAAAATAATATTTAAAAATGTATATATATTTATTTTTTTATATTTATATAAAATTCTAGAATATTCCAGTTTATATATGGAAAAAACAGAGCAGTGGTTGTCTGGGGAAATGTGTGTGAGTGGAAGAGTGGGAGACAATGGATGAGAAAGCTTGTGGGGTTGACGGATAGGTGCATTATCTTGATTGGGTGGTGGCTTCACAGGTACATACACATGTCAAAACTTGTGAAATTGTTAACCGAAACCTGTCTGCCTATTGTATGTCAATTATACCTCAATAAAGCTTTTTTTTTAAAGAAATCAAACAAATAAATTTGGAAAAAATAAATAAACCTCTTCTTATCATCTCATTCCTTCATTCTACTAGGTAAAATAGATATATGATTTTTTAAAAATTTATAGACAAATGCTCATATCAGCTTTCTTTGTAATAAGCAAAGGCTGAAACTAACCCAACCATTTTGTCAATAGGTAATATTGACAGTAGGTAATAAAGTACGGCACATCCATGGAACGGGGATATTACTCAATAAGAGGGAAAAACTATTAATACATGCCACACTGTGGGTGAATCGCCAAAGAGTTAAGCTGAGTGGAAGAAGTCAGACTTTATACATTATAAGAAGGTACTATATGACTCCATTTGTGTAAAACTCAGGCAAATCCAAAGACAGGCAGAGCTGGAGGTGGAGGCAGTACTGTGTGCTGGAGGGAAGAACTACAAACAGGCCTAAGAAAACTTTTGAGGATGATGGCTATGTTCACTATCTTGATGGTTTCCCAGGTGAATGCATCTGTCAGAACTTATCACGGTAAAGAAACTGTGGTATATACTCATAATGGAATATTACTCGGCATTAAAAGAGAATAAAATTATGGCATTTTCAGGTACATGGGTGGAGTTGGAGAATATTATGCTAAGTGAAATAAGCCGATCCCCAAACACTAAAGGCCAAATGCTTTCTCTGATTAGTGGATGCTGATCTATGATGGGGAGCATGGGAAGAATAGAGGCTCTTTGGGCAAAGGGGAGGGTAGGAGGGGTTATGAGCGTAGGAAAGATGGTGGAATGAGATGGACATCATTATCCTTGCACAAAAGGTGATTCTCTATACCGTGTACAACCAGAAAATTGAAATGTTGCACTCCATTTGTGTACAATGAATTGAAATGCCTTCTGCTGTGATGTACAACTAAGTAGAACAAATTTTAAAAATTAAATATAATTTTAAAAAAAACTTATCATGGGGGACTGGGGTTGAAGCTCAGTGGTAGAGCACTTGCCTAACATGTGTGAGGCACTGGGTTTGATCCTCAGCACCACATACAAATTACATAAATAAAATAAAGGTATTGTGTCCATCTACAACTAAGAAATATATTTAAAAACTTATTGTGGTATTACACTTCATTTCATTCTTTTGTTTGTTTATTTATTTTGTGGTATACTAGGGATTGAACCCAGGGGGACTTCACCACTGAATAACATCCCCAGCCCTTTTTGTTTTATTTTAAGACAGGATCGGCTCACTAAGTTGCCCAGGCTGGCTTTGAACTGGAGACGCTCCTGCCTTCACCTTCCCAGTGGCGGGTGTGTGCCACCGCGCCTGGTTCAGATAGTATACTTTAAATACTTGCAGTTTATTGCATGACAATTGTAATAGATGATAATAAAGCTATTAAAAATATGACCAATCTAAAATTCATGACCATGCCAGGTCCATGCTCCAAATACTTTGAGGTTTCCCGGTCAGATGGGGTCAATGTCTGGCCCCGTGTGGTGCTGCCCTTCTGTGTCCTCCTCCTCTATCCTCCCCTGACCTACCTTAGAATCCCGTTCTTGTCTGACACATCCTGCCTCTGAGTGACTTCACTGCTTTTATTCCTGCCATTTCTTCTGCTGAGATGTGTTTTCTTTTTCAATCTCTTTTAAGACCCTGCCCATCCTGAAAGTTTCAGCTCAAATGCCTTCTCCATAAATCTTCTCTGGATTTCTACAACTCTTTACACATTTTTTTCTTCTTCTGATTCCACAGCATTTTGTCCCTATTTCCTGATCACAGCAAAGCCTGACTGCATGTGCTAGCCTGTGTTTTCCAGTAAAGCTACTTGCGGGTGCTTCTCTTAACTTTCCAGTGAAATGATAAACTCCTTAAGTGCAATAACTCTATTATTAATTTACTGGCATATCACACACAATATGAAGCACACATACTTAGAGTAATAGGTTCTTTGTAAATATGTTTTAGTTAATGGAAGAATTTGGTTTCCTAGTTATTTGATCCTGAACTCTGTTCTTCTAACCACTCACCTATAATGGATTATGTGAATAGAAGCCATGATAATAGAATAATGTACCTGAGCTACCTTCATAACAAGCTTCATAACAATCTAGGCAGTTTCTGTAATGAGAGTTTCATGCAAAATTAGGGAAATCCACCCCTGTTTTTGCTGGGCCATCGTTTGTTATGAGCACTGTCTCCAAGTAACAAATGGAACATTTGGCCCATGAAAAATCACAAAATGTGAAATTTCTAGACACGTCAGCTCTTACAAGATAATTAAGTGAAATCCAAAGTTTGTGCTACATTCTCCAAACCAAGAACCATGATCCCAGAATGCCCACCCTTTATTCCCCCATTTGAAACCCATGTGTGTATCCTGGTTAGCTTGATTGGATTTGTTTTTCATTTTTGATAAAAAGATTTTTTTTTCCTTTTGAAATTATGCCCCCAGGTACCTGGACTCTTTGGAGATTTGGTTTCCATTATGGCCGTCTGTTCTCACCTGTCAAAAAGAAGGGTAAAGTGTCAGTTGGTCTCCAAACGACTGTATGCCCCTTCCAGCAGCCACAGAAGCACTGAGTATCAGGATGGTGCTCACAAATGCTGGGGAGACGGGTTCTGAGATGTCCCCTTTTCATTCCTTTAATACTTTCCTCCTTATCCCTGAAGCTGGTGATAGCCATGCACTTGTGCTTACCAAGTGGGTGGTCTGTGGACGTGTTGGAAAGGTGACTGAAGGAGCCGTCTTTCCTGGGCTTTTTTTGTCCCTGTGTCAAGAGCATTTCTGACTAGAGAGCCCTGGGTGACAGCAACACCAAGGAGAAGTGATAAGAACAGGGCAGAGGGCAGGAGTCCACAGAATGCGGGTGAGGAAGCACTGCTGAGGAGAGGAAAGATTGGAAAAGAAAGAAGCCCTTCTCCATGACAGGGACTTGCCTTCTCCCAAGGGAAACTAGCGAGCAAGGCCAGGGCAGCCGGGGTGAACTGGGGAGAAGACGCAGGGCCTCCCACTGCCATGGGCACCCCCCTCCTGATCTCCCTTTCTTCAGCATAAACTTATTCATTCCTCCAAAAGTAGAAATGACTCATCTCTGAATGACAGAGAGGAACATCTTAAGATTAAGACATGTCCTCACAGCATCCTTTTGGTGTTTTGTCAGATGCGTGGAAGAGCTATTTGAAGACCAGTGGGGGAGATTTCCCAAATCCTAAAATCACACCTATCCTGCCTGGGGAAATTGTCTTTCTTGGGGTATCTTGTGCAATAACAGTAGTGATGATTTGAGCGAATTTCTGGGGCATGTGCAAATGTATGTTGAAGAACAATGCCCTTGTCCCTTGCCTGGTCCGATGGACACACTCTACTCTGTGCAATGCCTGGGGAGAAAGCCACACTATTGAGGCCTTTGTTCCCTGAATATCAGTTCTGTACAAGGAAGAAGAATGATATAAACTACTTGAAACTTTGCCCGTCCCCCTCAAAGCAGGGACAATATTAAAAAAAATTACCCCTGAGATTTGGTATTAAATTCATGAGCTTCTTTCCAATTCTAGGCTATCCATGCCTGCGTAATTATTAGGAATGGATGGTTTCCAGCCTGTCATCCTTCTAGCCACCCATGCACGTGAGACTCAGTTGCCCTCCCACGTGAGCAATGGAGTTCAAGCTCAGCTGGGAGGACTGTACAGAAGTGACGAGCTCTGTTTGACATATTTTAAAGCACCGTGTTTGCTTCAAGCTGTTTGGGGGTTATTATTTGTCCAAAAGCTCCACATCATTTCTTCTGATAAAATATGTCACTAGTTTTAAAGCCTGTCTTGTTGATAAAGGTCAAGAGTAAAATCCTTCCAAGGATAGCAGGTTGAGAACTTCCTGTAGGTTCACATTTCAGAGTTTGTACTTAATCTCACCCTGCCACCAGAGCTCAGAATGAGCAGGTGGCATCCAGGGAGCCCAGGGGCAGGGTGCTTAATGCCTGCACACTGAGTGCTGTTTCTTTTGTGTCTCAGAACTGTTCTTTTGGAGGTGGCCTGTTTTACAAATGGAATACTGCATTTGAGAGAGGAAGAGTAAGGTAACTTGCACCTAGTTCTCCTGTGGAGCCCCCTCAGGGCACCTGATTGATGCTCAAGTACACTCCTGATGACTTCCACTCTCCTGTGTACCGTGAATAGCAAAGTGTGCTTTGAAGGACATCTCTGGCTTCCAGGGTCTGTGAAGAGCTCCAAAGTCACCTGTGGGGACCACTCCTCCCTCTTCTCTCACCAACTACAAAATGGGATGACAGATAAGGCTGCAGGGTTTGATGGTTTAGTGGGTTAACAGTGGAGATTGGGTTTCAATTTCATCCCCATCAGTTATGAGAGATGTGATCTTGAATATATGACAGTACCCCTACATGCCTCCATTTCTTCATCTGTAAAGTGGATGGCATAATGTCACCCTTCTAGAATTGCTGTGAGCCTCAGTTGAAATAATCTGAAGAGAGCACTCAGTAGATATTAGGAGCTCAATAGATGCTAGTTTTCAGGTCCTTTCCAGCTCTGATATTCTATGATTGCTTAATAATCGCTGTATTTATTGATTATAGCAGGAACTTGTAAGCAATATGTTTATAGAGCCTCATCACACTACTGTGAAGCTTATATTCTTTTTACAATGATATAATACCAAGTGACAGACAAGGAGACAGTTATTAGAAAGAGTAAACAACTTGCCTTAGAGCACACAATTAAAAAGAAGCTGAGCCAGCCTCCCAACTTGAAAGTCAATCTTCACCACTTTGTCCTTTCTATCCAAGGAAAAAGAATGAAATCATTCCCTAGGTTTGTCTGCATTTCTTGTTGCTGGCTCCGCAACACCCCCCCCCCAAAAAAAAAAAAGTAGGAAAACCTTTCCATTCATCTCTTCAGTCTCACTCAGGAACAGCACTCCATATTCATTGCCTCAGTTGTTCATTATAGTGTCACTTGGGATTTGTGGACTATGATACCAAGAGGTCTTATTTCCCTCTGTACAGCCCAAGAAGATTATGAAAAAAAGCTCATAAAAGCAAGATGCCTCAATTGAAAAATTTCCAATTTTTGATTTTCAATTTTGCAACTGCTCCATGGTAATGAGCTTCCAAATCACAATAGTCTTGAGAATCCAAACCAGTAACATTACAGAGTACTTACTGGAAGCTGGTCCAGCTCTCCGGAAAGTGCCTTGTCCCTGGGTCTCCTGCAGTCCACCTGTTCAATGTGAGCTCTGGTGCCAGGTTGGGGATTAAGTGTGAGCTCTGTTTGAAATGTGAACCAGCAGGAAGTTCTCAAACTATAACTGTTGGGAAGATTTTACTGCCTCAAATTCAAATGGAAGCTGGTGCCCCAGGGGAAGTCCTGGGCTTTCATTCTTCTTGTGGCTTGGCACAGAACTGCCCTTGGTGTTTCAGGTATCTAACACCAAAAAATAAAAGCAAACAAATAAAAAAAAAAGTCCTGGGAGACTTTGGACCATAGTCACAATAACTCTTATTGAGGACAGTGCCAACCCAACCTTGACCTTCTGCAGTGACTACCACTGAAACAATTTCTTCGATTCCCACCCATCCATATCTTACCAACATCTTCCTGGGGAGGGTAGGAAGGATTCCTTTGTACTAGATGAGAAAACAGAAGCTTGGCTTCTCTAACACCCTCATACATGCCAATGGTTTCCAGGAAGAGCTAGCTGCTCCCTCATCCGTGATGGGGTATTTCATCAACAGGGTGGTGCAGGGCACAGCCCCTGGCGTAGCCATCCAACAGTTCATAACAGTGAGTAGGTTGCTTGAATGGCCACCCTGAGACCTGCTGAGTGGTGTTTGGCCACCAAAGGGCCTTAGTATGTTTATGTATTTGTTAGGAAAAAGGTGTTAATAAGTTTTATCCTGTTAAATCACCTTTCAATGAAAATACATTGTCTTTCATTTTAATCCTTCTCATCCTCATTAGAATAGTTGGGATCTAATCAGCTCTGCTCTGCATCCATTGCCTGGGTCTTGCAAAGTTACTTAGATTCTCTGAGTCTATATATTTTTAAATTTTCAGTTGTCAATGGACCTTTATTTTATTTATTTGTATGCGGTGCTGAGAATCAAACCCAGGGCCTCACACACGTAAGGCAAGTGCTCTACCACTGAGCCACAACCGCAGTCCCCCTCTGAGTCTATTTCCTCATCAACAGAATGAAATGGATAATTCTGACTTCATGGAATCTTTTAAAAATTAAAGATTTCACATATAAAAAGCACTTAGCACAGTGTTGGATCCATAGTTAGCATCTCACAGAGATTATGTCTCTGTTTGTCTCTTTTGCACTCTGTGAAGAGAGCAGGTCTTATTGATTTCTTTGTTTGTCTAATTGAACCTCAGGTATGCAGAAATGCTTGATTTATTGTTCACCTCCTGCACAGGACTGGTTTTGCTTGGTTTAGGAGAAACAATTTCCCATGATATTATTTCCTGAATGTTTCTTTGGGCAGCTTTTGGCCACTCTAAAAATAGTCTCATATCTTTACATCTAGTCTTTAACTAGATATTAGTAATTGTAGGTCTGAGTAGTTCTTAAAAAGCCTGTGCTGATTTCCACTTACTTGGGAACTACCAAGCTATGACAGCCCATCATTGTAGTACAGAGACCTAGACAAAAGAATATGATTTTAAGACTTGTGTTCCTTTGGAAAAGATGCTCATAAAAGGTTAGACAGATAAATAGACTTTCCACTTTTCCACATGTCCATCCATTATCCCACCCTGTTCCAGCCATTTTTTGAGGGGTCTTGTTTTCCAATAGTATCACAAAACTCTTTGGGGAAGAATTTCATATATTCTACAGGTGCCTAGGAAAGCTATTTGTACTGTAGATGCAACCTGTAAAATAAGAACTAGGAACAAACAAAAACTGGCTCAGACATTGAATATTAAACTTGTGAAATCTAAACACATTGATGAAAGGCAAGCATTGTTTTTTTTTTTTTTCTTATCTCCATCCACCTGTGAAGAAGGCAGTGGTCAAATACCTGTTGCAAATCAGCAATTGCCTGCTCACTTGAAATAGCAGATGAGTTATTTCATGACTTGGCTAATTATGCTTCCCTATCATGGAATTACTCTTCAGTTTTCTGTTGCCTCTTAACAAAAACACAACTGAACAATTTCAATTTCTATTGCATGAAAATGCCTACTATTTACTGGGACATTTTTACTCTACCTAGAATATTTTTTAATCCCAACAATTTTGCAGGATAAATGTCATTCCTTAATTTCAAAAGGAAGAAACTGAAATGTGAAGAGATGAAATCGTTTGAAAAAAAAAAAAGTCATGCAGCTCATATGTGAGTGACAGAAATCAAACTCATCTGTTTAACTCCGAAGCTGGTATGTGTTCTTTTATACTTTCTGTAATATATGAGTCCTGGCTGGGACCAGTTGCCCTGGGCTCTCAGCCTGCTCTGCTACTGACCGATGGTGTAACCTTGCACAGGTTGCCAGGGAGGCTCAGGGAGGAGATGGCATCTTTGCTGGTCTCATGGGCTGGAGTAGATGAGGTTTCCATTTACCTCCCCGCACCCCTCCACTTCCCAATTACCCTTGGTACTCCTCTTGCTCTTGGATGGTGGACACATGACTGCATTGTTGGCCCCGGTCAAGGACTCTGAGGCAGAAGGAATCTCAAGATTTGTGCCCAGGATGCTGGTTGAAGGCTCTCTTCCTCGGGCAGTGCATATTGTGGACAGGAGAACATTTTGCTTTCATGGGGGAAGTTACCCTGATAACAAGGATGACGCCTGGAAAGGGAAACACTGAAGAATCACAGACACAGAGCAGCAGTCCGGAGGGTTTGGCCAACTTGGCACCAAACTGCTTGAATTCCATTCTGCCTCTGGACTTTCCCACTATGAGTAATTGAAATTTCCTTGGCTATTTAAGTATTTTTTACTAAATTGTTCATCAGGGAGGCATTAATTTATTGTCACTTCTAACCTGTTGAACATGCAGCAAAGTGGACTTCACAGAAAGGATACAAAAGGAAGGTGAGTCAAGATGGCCTAGTATCCACTAGCATGGAGTCAGACTTCCAAGGGTTGTTGATGTGCTCTGTGATCTTGGAGAAGTCGCTTAACCTCTCCGTGCTTTAGTTTCCTCATCTTTAAAATGGGGATGATGATGGTACCTATTTAATTGATTCACTATGAGGGTTGAATGAGCTGATATTTGGAAAGAGCTTAGAATAGTTCTCGGCATGTGGTGACACTTTATAAGCAAGGCATTGTGTCTGTAATTCATAACCAAGCTCACCTCTAATGAATGGGGCTGGGCTCCCCTCGGAGTGTGAAGACTCTTCAAAGTATTTTTTACATGGTGAATGAGTCATTCTTTTGGGGATGCCCATCATTCTTTTGTTATCCTACATGCATAAATAAAGGTCCTGGGAGGATCAAAATAATCGGGGGTGGGGGGGAAATCTAGTAGTAAATGCCATGATGAAGCCAATCACAGAAGACCAAGAATGGGACAGGAATTCATGCTTCTGCTCTGCTTCAGCTCATGGGAGACTCAAGCCTGTCCCCTTGCTCCCTCTAGGGGAATCTGGTGGTGGTGACCAGGTGACCTTCAAGTACCTAAGGAGTTTGATAAACTCCAAGTCTCATAACACCACCTTAATTGAGTCTACAGTCTCGCCCACGTCCCTCACAGGCAGTAGAAATGGGGTTCTCCTCGGTGGAATGGGCTGGCTGAGAAATAAAAGCTAGGAAAACTAGAATGATGGAAAAAAACCACAGGACACAGAAATGGGCCGGACGGGTAAGCCCACCAGACAGATCAGGCTCCTAGACTCTGGCAAAATGGAGCCCACGCCAACTTTATTTATATTGGGAAACATCAAAGGCCTCCCATAGAATGTTCTTCACCAAAACAGGTTAAAGGTGGGCTGACCAGTTCCCAATGGGTTACGCCCATCTCCGGAGCTACTATGAGGGATCTTCCTAGAAGAGCTGAGATAAAGGCCATGTGCATTGGGCAATCTTGTCGCGGGAGAGCCATGGATAGTTCACAGTGCCAAACCTCAGTCTCCCTGGCTACCATACAGAGAGAAGACCTTCAAGTAATTCACGGACGGCTTCCCACACTGCAGCTTACCATTTACAAAGCATTTGCATAGGGTCTCCCTCTGCTCACACATAAGCCTTATTAGGGGCACAGTGAAGACATTGTTTTCCTTGTTTTATATCCAGGAAGGAAAGCTAGATACCTTGGCTTGGATTTGGAATGTTCCCCAAAGTCTCATGTGTGGAAGGATCTGTTCCTAGTGCACCAATGTTGACAGGTGGGGCTTTTAGGAAATGAATGGATCATGAAGGCTCTAACCTCATTAGTGGATTAATCCACTTATGGATTAATTTGAAAGGACAACGGGAGGTGGCGGGAACTATAGCAGTGGGGCCTGGTTGGAGGAAGTAGGTCCCTGGGGTGTGTTCTTGAGGACTATATCCTGTCCCTGGCCCCCTTCTCTCTTTTTTCTCTGTGCTTCCTGGCTGCCACGAACTGAGAAGCTCTCCTCCATCACACTTTGGTGCCACGATGTTTCTGCCTTGGAGTCAGCTGTCTATGAGCTGAAATCTCTGAAACTGTGAGTCAAAAACCCTTTTCCCCCTTTAAGTTGTTTATGTCAGGTATGTTGGTCACAGTAACAAAAACAAACTAACATGTTAACTGCTACAAGGTTTGATGCTACGTAAACTACCACCAGAGTAACAGCAGCTGAATCCCATGGGAAACTGGGCATTGGTATATGACACCTGCCTCAGAGTTAGGTCTATCCCGGGATGAGGGATCTCTGATGTTTATATACTACCTCCTGCCAGCCATCAGGGATCATTAATTTATACGCATGACTATCCTGTCGGACATGTTAAAGTGGGCTTTGGAGGTCAGAGGAACCCTCCAGACAAAACCATGTGTGCTCTGGCATTTGAGAGGAGGCCAGTGACTGATGCAATTGGCAGGGGGGATATGGGCAGTTACCTTGTCACTGTTACCTGCAAACAGGCCTCAAAATAGAGTTTTTGGCTGGGCATATGACTATTCTGAATTCAATCAGGATTTTGAGGGTAAGGAAATAGGAACATATTGTAGCCTAAATAATGCCCCACCCCCAAAGAAGTCTACAGCCTAATCTTCAGCTCGTGAATGTTACCTGCCATGGCAAAAGGGACTTTTGCAGACATAAATTAAGTATCTTGAGATGGGAAGATGAACCTGGCTTATTAAGTGGACCTGATGTAATCACAAAGTCCTTATAAGGAAGAGGTGGGAGGTCAGGGGAGAGAGAAGATGCTACGGTGATGTCTCTAAAGAGGCAGGAAAGGGCCAGGAATGTGGGCAGCTTCTAGAAACTGGAAAAGGCAAGGAAATGGATTCTTCTCTAGGGTCTATAGCCCTGCAGACACCTTGATCTTAAATTGATGACTTCCATAACGGGAAGAGAGTTCATTTGCAATGTTTTCAGGTGCTAAATTTGTTGTAGTGTGTTAGAAAGTAAATTTCTTCCAAAAAAAGTGAAGTTTACATGGGCCAGTGGAAGAGCCTCTTCTGTGTATCTAGTGGGCATCTCAAACAACTTTCATAAGATCTTGATTTTTCACAGTTTTACCTCTTCCCACCAAAACTATTG